CTGATGCAGGAACAAGCAGCAGGACAGGAATAAGCTCAGGCTTGTAGGGCATTCAATCTGTTGGCCAGAAGCCTGGTAGAGACGCCTGACCAGTGCCAATGAACCATACAGCACCCTCCACTAGAGGTATGTATTTTGAAGGTCAGTTTGCCGGAGGGTGCTTCACATCAGCTGGGATCAAATGATTAAGAGAGAGGAAGGTTATGTCATCTATTGAGTTGCTGTCATGAGGTTCCCAGGTAGACAGATGAGGGATGAGGGATACTGATGGGAAAATTGTTCCTATATTTGAGCCCATTTGTTACAGCCATTATGCCAATCCATCTCATTGAAATATTTTAATAGAGGAAATATTAAAACCAAATGTCTATTGACTTTTCTTTCAACTTCTTTCTCCAATGAATATTTATTTTATTATAACATTTTCTACATAATCTGGCCAATGTGATGTTCTGATATTTCCATTTTCAGTCTTTCCATCTTCCTTTGGTCAATCCTTCTAAATCTGAAACTTGAGTCCAATCTTGTAGGTCTACATTTTACACAAGACCGATTCCTCTGTCATATAGTGAATTTGAGAACAAATTTTATAATATTTAGCCTGGAATATTGTGTTTACTTGATGCTGAATTTTTTTCTACCAATATAATTGCTTTAATGTATTTATTATTTCTTGAAGATTGTGAACAAATATGTTAGAAGACACGAAGATAAAGGGAAGAGAAAAGGGGGGAAAGGGTGATGTAGGAAAAAATCAAAATATGCATGCATATTATCTTGATTTGCCTCGACCCTCCTGATCTGGAAGTGAATAAATTAGTGTGACATAATAATACAAAGAAAGGCAAATCATTGGAAACAAGTCAGCCTTAACATTCTAAATTATTTAAAATGTTTTGTTCACTTACCTGCTTCTCTGAATCTTCTCTCTCATTGGACCATATCTTCCGTGGAAGAGTGACATGCCAGAAGATTTTTTCAGCGTCTGCAATAAGAAAATGTATTTACATGGATCAACATCAATCTCTGTTAAACTTTGGTTCATAACCCCCAGTATGTAGGTGGAACCCTGTTCTTACAAAACTTATAAACCTATTGGCATATCGAAAATTAAGAAGGGGGTGAGGGTAGTGTTCTATATTTGCAGATGTGTGGGTTTTCGGAACCACATTGTGTTTAGCTTTCCTCAAGAACTCAATCCTCTGACAATAAGGTGGGGTTGAATCTGAATGTGGACTCATTAACTACCATCATAGGCTCGCGTGGACTTTGGTTCAATGGTGATCTGAATGAAAGGGCACAGGGATTCAAGGAGGAGAGGCAAGGATATCTCTTCCCTGGAATAGCCTAGCTCTTCTCAGAGGCAGAAGAAGGAAGGTCAGAATCTTTGCGGACTTACCCAGGCTGGCGTGCATCCTTCCAAGCTCAGTGAGGAGGACGAGGAGAGAGAACATGACTGAGCCCTATCGCAGCGAGCCGTTAGGGCAGTTCTAAGGCTCGTGGGCCGCTAGAACCACCGGAGAAGACGGTTTGCTACCCTGGTTGGTTCACCCTTACGGATGTAGAAGAACTGGGCGGCTTCTTGGAGGCAGAGGAAGGAAACTCCCAAGTATGTACACGTAGGCAAAAGGTGCTTGATACCGCCACGTTCAAATTTTTTTAACCCCTCTGTAGGGGCGAACGGACAAATAAACAGTTTTTCTCTCTTTCAGACTGACATTGACAATGAATATTTTGGCAATTTTTTTCTCCCTATCAGTGGTGTGTGTGTGTGTGTGTGTTATTTTTATGTTCTTGTGTGTGTGTGTGTGTGTGTGTGAGAGAGAGATAAGTGCTAACGAGTCGTGTGGGTGTGAGATAGTTAAGTGCTAATGAGTCAATTCCGACCCGTAGTGATCCTGCGATCCTATCCACAACAGAGCGAAATGCTGCCCGGTCCAGTGCCATCCTAACCATTGTCCCCGCGCCTGAGCTATGTGTTGCAGGCACTGTGTGTCAATCCATCTCACTGGGGGCCTGCCTCTTTTTTGTTGCCCTGCAACCTTACTAACATGATGTTCTTCTCCAGGGACTGATCCTGACAATACATCCGAAGTATGCAAGACAAAGGCATGCCATCCTTGCCTGGAAGGAGCCCTCTTCTCCCAACACAGACCGCTTTATCCTTTAAGCAGTTCGTGCTACTTCAGCGTGCTTCTCCAGCCCCGTAATTCAAAAGTATCGGTGCTTCTTCGGGTTTCTTGCTTCAATCTCCAACTTCAACATGCAGTGAAGGAATGGAGAATGCCATGGTTTGGGTCAGGCTCACCTTAGTCCTCAAAGCAACACCCTTGTTCTTCAGTACTCTAAAGAGGTCTTGTGCAGCAGAGTCACCTAATGCAATACATCTTTTGATCTCTTGACTGCAGCTTTCAAGAGCACTGATTGTGGATCCAAGTAAGACGAAATCCTTGACAAATTAAACCTTTTCTCCATTTACTGTGATGTTACCTATTGGTCCAGCTGTGCAAATTTGGGTTATAAGTTTTCAAATGGCCTTTGGTAGAAAAATTGTTCCCTATCCCTGACATCAGTTGGAACTCACTCAAGAACACCCAACATCAACATATACACTTTTATGTTTCAATGTCCCACCAATATATTTGAAAACAGAGTTTAAATATGTGAAGAACATATTTGAAAACAAAAACCTTGATTCACATGTTAAATTTGTTATCTATCTGCTTTTTATCAAGACATTATTTCAGAAATTTTTCTTATATGTTATATTCAATTTATTAACTTATTCTATTGGTTTGCCTTTATATTCTATCCATAATCTGACCTACTGACCAACTCAAATCTGATGTATAGTTCTTAGTCTCCTATAGAATGTTATAGTGTCTTTTATCTGATTTCTTCATTCTTAATCTCACAAACAGATCATTTTCAAGAAATTAACCTTTGAATCATAATTCAGAGACTTTGTTTCAAAACCCTTTGGGAATCCCCATTTTATTTAGTGTAAAAGAGGTGATTTTCAAGATTCTGCATGAGCTTTCTTTCCCTAACCTAATCACTACATGGATGTTTTTGCTAACTCTATTCTGGATAAGCAAATTTCCTTGATTCTTATTAAGCCTGCCAGACATAATTTGAACTATATCTCTGCTTTGTAAACTCTGGCCCAGATATGTGCATGATTATCTCTATAACTCTGTGAAGGTTAGACTTGATTTAAAATAAACTCTGTTTGATATTTTGCCTAAGAAAATACTTCAGCATTTTATTTTTTACTCTTGTCCAAGGAAATTTAAATATAATTTGCATATATGAGTATTGATTGTGGATTCAGGTAAAATGAAATCTTTGAAAACTTCCATCTTTTCATGATGATGTTTATTGGCCTAGTTATGAGAATTTTCAAAAAAAATTGCTATCCATATTGAAGGATTTCAATCGTTATCAGAAACTACCTCAAATCCTCTTTTCTTTAATCTTCTGTATATTGCAGTTTGTTAAAGAGCCATCCCCCAATTATGATGTCATATTTTCCTCCTACAGTCCAGCTTCTTGAATTTGTTGTTCAGATTAAATAACTGTAGTGAAAGGATGCAACGCTGACATACATATTTGCTGATTTTAAAACATTCGGTGTTCACTTTTTGTATTACAATGGCTGCCTCTTGGTCTATGTACAGGTTTCACATGACAAAAGTAAATGTTCTAGAATTACTATTCTTCATGACATTATGAATAATTTATTATGATGCACACAATCAAATGTGTTAGCCCAGTCAATAGAGCACAAGTAAACATCTTTCTGGTATTCTCTGCTTTCAATAAAGATTTATCTAAGGTCAGCAAGGATACCCCTAAATCCATGACCTTTTATGAATTCAGCTTGTATTTCTGGAAGCCCCTGACCATATTAGTACTTGATATGCCTCTTGAAATAGTTGAGTTTTGATTTGAGCAATTCTTTTTGATATGGCAATCCTGTATTCCGTTTACCTTCTTTTAATACTTCCCAGATTGTTCAATATTTTGTTCACAGAATCCATCAAGGCTGCAACTCGAGGTGTGGGTTTTTCCTTCACTTCTCTCAGCTTCAGTAATACTGGATGTGCTTCCCATTTCTAGGTTTCTAGTTCCAGGTCTTAGCATATTCATTATAACGTTTTACTTTGTGTTCACAATCTACCTTTTAAATTTTTCTGTTCTCATTTTTTATTTCATCATGTCTTTAATTCATTTATTATTCTAGATTCAAAAGTAAGTTTCAGAATTGCTTTTGACATCAACTGTGATCTTTTATTTCCTGTTACTTTAATGACCTTTTGCTTTGTGTATGGTGTTCTTTATGTGTTTGGTCTTGAGTGTTGCTTGCATTCAATCTCTTCGTAAGATGTTCTCTAAATTCAGGTACAATATATTCAAGGTTGTAATTTGGCGCTTGTCGACTTGCTTTAGATTTCTTCAGCTTCAACTATAACTTACATAGGAACAATTGATAGTCTGTTCCACAGGCAGATCCTGGCATTGTTATTACTGATGATATTGAGTTTCTCCCTTGTCTCTTCCAACAGATACAATAAATTTGATTGCTGCGTATTCAATCCAGTGAAGTACACAGAGTCACCATTTATATTGTTGAAAAACAGTATGTGCAATGAATAAATCGTTTGTGTTATAAATTTACATCGTGTGATCTCCAGCTTTGTTTCTATCACCTAGTCCATATTTTGCAACTACCAATTATCCACATGACGTGTAGTTTCCTTGAAAGTTTTTGTGAGGAATGTCTCTATATCCCTAATGCTTGTCTGTACACTCCCTTTCCTGTCTATATCTGGTGGTTCCTTTCATATGTCTAAACTGGGAAGATTTCTACAAGTCATGCAATTCTACACTTAAACTGGGAAGATTTCTACAAGTCATCCAATTCTACCTTTAAAGGTAATAAGATACCCAGACAACCATCTTTAAATTTCTATTAGGTCATCATTCAACATAGATTTTCCTCATTGCCCTTACTTGTGGACAAACATACTGGGGTAAGGTGGTATCTCATCATTGTTTTCATTACCTTTATAGTTCTAGAGTTTAGATTTAGTTTTTTAATCCATCTTATGTTTGTTGTAGGTCTTTTCATTTCTTGCTGAGAGACTCAGAATTTGTTCCTTGCCTTTGATTTTAGAAAATCTGATTATGATGTGTCATGAAGATTTTATATTGGGGTCTGTCCTCTTTGAGGCTCTTTCAGCTTCTTTTATGATTATCCTCTCATCTTCCTTGATGTTCCAAAAATTTTCTTCCTAAAGATCTAGGACTATTTTCTCTGTGCTTTTTTTGTTTCTTTCAGTTCTGGAATTCCAATTGCACATTATTCCTTTTGATCTTGTCTCATATAATTCTTCAGCTTGTTTCAGCCTTTCTTTATTTAGTTTTTACTGTTCTGATACAAGACTGGTGTTGAGAGATTTGTTTTCAAGCTCACTAAATTGACCTTCCATTGCTTCAATTCTAGATCTTTGCTATTTCTGATATCTTAGTGTTTCTAATATCATAATATTAATCTTGTGGATTTCCACTTGTTGATTTTGCAAGGTTTCTAATTTTTCATTTATTTTGTCAGTTTGCTTTTGTCGTGTTTTCCTAAATTCTTCTAAAGTTTGGCTTAGGGTTGGTTTCGTTTTCACTTTCTCTCAATGACAGTACTAAGAATCATTCTTCTGACGTTCTTTCTGGTAGTTACAATGTCTTTTATTCCGCAGGAGAATATTTCGGCTCCCTAAGTTGCATGCATGTTTATGCCACTCTGTCTTCTTTCTTCATGCAGATTGAAGTAGTCTTTTGTCTCTGAGACAATATTGTTCTATGTGTCTTTCTGGGATGATCCAGTGTTACTGGTCTATGAAATGAACCTTCTCCATTAGGCATGACTGTGGGAAGTACAAGAGTGGTGTGATCATGTGAGGACAACTGTTTTTATTTAGGGGGAGC